TGGAGAGGGCGGGGGGGGTGGCGGGTAGGCGGGGGGGCTGGGAGCCAGGACTCCTGGGTTCTCTCCCCGGCTCTGGGAGGGAGTGGGGGCTGGTGGTTAGAGGGGGGGGGGGCTGGGAGCCAGGACTCCTGGGTTCTCTCCCGCCATGGCTCTGGGAGGGGTCTAGTGCTCGGAGCAGTATTTCGGTATCCGGGAGCAATTCCTGGAGCGGGAAGGGCCACTGGGGTGTGGTTAAAGCTGGGGCGTCCATGGGCTGTAACCGGGGTAACCCGCTCTTAACACGACTCCCCACAGATCCCCCCCCACCACGGCCCCTGGTGTCACTCCCCCGCCCCTCCCAGCCAACAACCGGCTCATGTGTACGAACCCCCCTAGCGTAATCCCCCAGCCCAGCCCACAACAGCCGGGAAACCATCACACCCCGGTCACATGCGTCACCCGACAAACCCGCCTGTCCCCCCGTCCACTGAACCACCCCGTGCGCAACACACAACCCCCGCCACCGCACACAGCCGGAACACACCCGTACAGAACACACACCGCCGCCCAAAGTCACAACACACCGCTCATTCTGACAACACAACCGCCCCTCAAACACAGTGCAACAGTCAGCCAACCAACACACAGCCACAACCTCCTCTCACCACATGCGTGCGCACCCCCCACACCCTCTCATCGCACCCCCGCAGAACATCCATCAAACCTACGCACACACACAACACAACCCCCCTCTCACTGCACACACACACACACACACACACACAGTCATACCACACCCGTACACGCTCCCTGACCCACACCTCAGCCCCACAACCGGCCCACAAAACAGTACAATACCCATCAAGCCAACACATACATACACAACCCCCTCTCACTGCACACAGTCATACCACACCTGTACACAACACCCCCTGCCCAAAGTCATAACACACAGCCACAACCACCTTCTCACCCCCCCCACAACAGCCATCAAACCAACACACACACACAACACAACCCCCCGCTCACCGCGCACACACACACAGAGTCATACCACACCCCTACCCGCTCCCTGACCCACACCTTAGCCCCTCAGCACACAACCGTCCCCGGACCTGTCCCCGTGCCCAGGCAGAAATCACACACTCGGTCACCGCAACACACCTCCCCCATCCTGACACCCGGCTCCCAACCACAACCCCCCCCCCCACTGCCACAACTTGCCCCCAGGACAGTGACCCAACAGCCCATCCCCCGCGCACACCCTCACACCTGTGCACAATCCCCCGTCCCAGCCGGCGCCCCCCAGCACCCGCGTCACCACCTGCTGCCTGGCTCAGCGCACGGCTGGGGTTGGAGTCCACGGGGCGGGGAGGGGGTGGCCGGAGCCAGAGGGAACTGGGCCCTTGAACCCAATGCAAACAGGGTGGCACCGAAACCCCGGGGCCTTGGCAGCGTCTCCCAGGGAAACCGGATCGACCGGGCTGGGGGTGGGGACAGACACAGAACTCCGCCGGTGCCCTTCACTCGCAACCCGCAGCCCCTGCTAGCCCAGCCCCCGCACCCAGCTCTGCCGGTGCCCCTCACTCCCGACCCGCAGCCCCTGCTAG